GGATCCTTCCTAAAACTCCAATAGTATAACCCAAGGTGTAAAAAAATTACCTAAAATATTCTTTACATCGCGTGCGCTGCGAAAACTATTGATGATAGAATAAAATTATGTACTGCGACTTTGTAGCGACAGCATAATATGTCTGACTATTATAGTTATGCCACAATAAGTGTTCATTTATTTAAAAAAAAGAAAACAACGTCAAATATCGTTTTTTATAATTTATAATTGCAAGCTTTTTTATAATTGTGAGTTTACTGGTGGCCCGGAGGCCTTTCCAGTTTCCAAGCCTCCTCCTCAGCCAGTACAAGGAAGCTCTGACTCAATAAACTCAATGGCTTCTGTTTTGTATGTATGATCTTTTTACGAAAATTAGAAAAATAATAATATAAAAAAATAGATAAAAACAAATATTATTTAAATGAAAATAAAAGTTTATTTAAAAAAATATTCAATTTATCTTTATAATTTTCTACTTTTAGAGACCGCAAATATAAGGGTTAATGTGTGTGTATTATAATTTTTTTATTTAAAATATTTGTTAAAGACCCGAACGAAGCCGGAGCGCGCCGCTTTATTATATAAATATAAAAATCCCTATGTTAATTTACAAGGTTAAATTTATTTTAAACAGTGTATTAAAGTAGAATAACAATTGTAAATATTTTTTTAATTTCACATTACACATACTCATGCTATGTTGACGATATAAGAATTAGATGTTACAGTATACATTCCTTTAAACTTGACAGAGTAACAACATTTTGTTTTTGTGAGACGTGATATTTTCGATATGTTTGAGCTCTGTCTCTTTCTAATAATCTAAAAGCTTTATATCTTTTTCATGTGATAAGAGTGCGTAGAGTTCCTTGCAAGTAAAAAGGATGTGTAGAATGATAATAATATCATTTTTTACTTTTTTTTTATATTTTTACTTTTTACTATAAAGTAAAAAGTAAAAATAATGAAATCAGAGAACAGCCGTAATGCACAAGGCACAATAAAATTAGTAAGGGATTGGAAGGAGTTCAATCAATCCTCCACAGCAATCCTCCCTTCATTTTCTTTTCAACTCACGAATTCCACTGCTGGACATAAGCCTCTCCAAGGTTCGCCACGATAGCTGATCTTGCGCAACCTACTTTTTTTTTATTGCTTAGATGGGTGGACGAGCTCACTGCCTACCTGGTGTTAAGTGGTTACTGGAGCCCATAGACATGTACAATGTAAATGCGCCACTCACCTTGAAATATAAGTTCTAACTTCTCAAGTATAGTTAGTTGCCCCACCCTTCAAACTGAAACGCATTGCTGCTTCACGGCAGAAATAGGCAGGGCGGTGATACCTACCCGTGCGGACTCACAAAAGGCCCTACCACCAGCAAAAGTGGTAAAGAGCGGATTAAATTTCTAAAATTATAACAAAATATCCAATCAAGAACATTAAAATTATCAAGATTCAATATTAACATCGGAAATAACAGTGCTCATTGTTTTTATTGAACAAAAGATGAATGATGAATAGTTTCCGAGACGCGACTTCTATTGTTTTATGTATGTTATTCATTTATTATTAAAACGAAGTTGTTATCGACAGCCGTGACTGAAATGAAAAATTCTTTTGTTTTAGAATCTGAATCCATACACATACACGATTCGATAGTTATTCCATTTTGTTTTGCCACGGCATGTATATATATTAATACGTGAAGCAAAAACTTTGTATCCCTTTTTACGAAAATTGCGCGGACGGAGGAGTAAGAAATTTCCCACACTTATAGAGAATATAGAGAAGGAGTGCACAAAGCTAATTTTTTTTTAATAATGCATAAAAGATACATTAAATCAATAAAGAAAACATTACACATACTGCCGTGTATTCGACACACATACACATATATATCTATATATACTCTTTGTTTATTGTCAAACTTTAGTTTGTCAAAAACTGTGGTCAAATTGAAAATAGGTTAATATTGTTTATCTTTAATATTATTTGTTTATAGAGTAGTCTTGGCGAAATCTGTGATTATAGAAGTATAAATAATCTTTGAAAATATAACCATAATAATGTTCAAGCTTATAATTTCAATTAATTATAGTCGAATTTCGACAACTGCGGGACCACTATTAACAAGAAAAGCAACCGTAGATATGACAAATATTCATTTGCCACCTTTAAACTGGATGGTAAGTAAGCAAGGACGATTTGGAAACACCGGTCGAGTGATGGTGCTCACCTGTGTGAAAGTTTCGCAAACTTTATTTTGTTTTCCCTTTTCCCTACCTATTCACTGATAAAGGGGCTATTGCAGCTATGTTCCGGGCTATGGAACCGCATGGAGCTAGGGAGAGCTAACGTCAAAAAACTAGGTAGTATTTACTACGGCATTAGCGAGACGTAGACATAATTAAATGTACTTTTAGGGTTTAATTATCATCATTATATTATATCAGACGGCTCGGTTATATAGTATATAGTATATATACTTCGGTTTTCGTGGTCCATATGATAATGACTATAATATTTTTACCGTAATAGCGGTTTAAATCAAGAAACACGTAATCGTAGCTGATGAACACGTAATTTACTTGTAAATTAGTGTGTAGTACAGTTACGACTGTTTAGAAAAACTACTTGTATGCACAAACTAAAGATAATTAAACATATTCGCCTTTTCGCATTAAAAGTGCGCAAAAAACAATTTCGCAAAAAACAATTTCCAGAAATATTCGAAATTGAGTTAAGTAATATGCGTAAACATTTTTATCGCCAGTATTTTTCTCATAAATACTGTCGATAGTAGAGTACTGTCGAGCGTAGTTTACTTTTTGTTTTTTTTATTTTTTAGTTTAGTTTACTTATGTTTTGACTACTGTTAACAAAATGAATACATAATTTTGTCTTACTTTAAAAGACAGATAATGTAATTGGTAAAAAATAAAAAATAAATGTTGCAAAGCTGATTAATATTAAAAATATTACATGTTATACCTTTAAAACACTCCTGTAAAATTAGTAAGTTTTGTGATTATACGGTTTTAATGCGAGAAGACGATTATATTGTCTGCTTTTATTTTGCGTACAGGATGAATCAAAACAAGACAGTGGTAGTGGTAGAAAATAAATTATTCAATCCATCCTTATACGGGTACCGAGTTAGGATACGTATGCGTAATTATTTATTTATTCACAAGGGACTTCATTACATTTGTAACCGCAAGGGAGAGATTTAACATTAATATAATAATAGGTACTTAATCCTGCGGGTAGGTAGCCTTCTGAGACGGCACGGGATAGGCAGCACCGCCATGTCTATTACTGCTGCAAAGAAGTAATGCTTTCCGATATGAAGGGGTTGGGTATTTACGTTGTTGATGTCAATGGGCTCCGGTAACCGTATAACACCAGGTGGACCGTTAGCTAGTTCACTCGTATCTCTATACATATATAAAAATGAATCGCTGTTCGTTAGTCTCGCTAAAACTCGAGAACGGCTGGACCGATTTGGCTAATTTTGGTCTTGAATTATTCGTGGAAGTCCAGGGAAGGTTTAAAAGGTGAGAAGATATAAAAAATCTCGGAATTATATAAAAACAAACAATTTTGTTTTTCCTTTGATGTGTCACCTTGATGCGTCTTTTATTTATCGATAGCTGGCACTACGAAGTCTGCCGGGTCAGCTAGTAAGTAATAAAAAAACAAAACGTGTATGTATGGCTTCCGTTTAAGTTTCTAATAAGCTTTCTAATCTTCAAGTTTTCCATTTTCCCATAAATCCATGTAACATTATTCGACGTCAAGCAGCGAAAGGCGAATCGTATATTTAAATTTAGATTTTTTTTTATGATTGTTCTATTATTATTGTTTTTTTCAACTAGAGACGTTAACAAGATCACGGTCTACCTGGCGTGATGGGGTTACCGGAGCTTTTTATCTACCTATTTGCTGGTAGCCTAGTAGGCTATTTCAGCTACGCCCAGACGGGTAGGTGACACACAAGCCCAAGCAAAGAGCAGCTCGCCGACTCTACCACCGAATCGGAATCGTGACCAACTGAGAATATCCGTCGAGAAATTCAGTGGGCTGTGTCTATGGGTACTGAAGTCCATAGACATCAGAGCGCGAATCTTTTACCCACCTTGAGATATGGAACGCATAACTGATTCATGGCAGGAATAGGTAGGGTGATTGTAGCTACCGGTACGAGGTAACACTGCAAAATTGTATCTTTTGCAGGGAATTTGGTATGTAGAAATTACCAGAGAAAAGCAGTGAAGTGGATAATGAATTCACTTTACTTATCAAAATTGGTTGATTGAGAAAAGTGTGGGAAAGTGTGAGAAAAGTTTTACTGGTGGTAGGACCTCTTGAGAGTCCGCGCGGGTAGGTACCACCACCCTGCCTATTTCTGCCGTGAAGCAGTAATGCGTTTCGGTTTGAAGGGTGGGGCAGCCGTTGTAACTATACCTGAGACCTTAGAACTTATATCTCAAGGTGGGTGGCGCATTTACGTTGTAGATGTCTATGTGCTCCAGTAACAACTTAACACCAGGTGGGCTGTGAGCTCGTCCACCCATCTAAGCAATAAAAAAAAAGTGTAAGGACAAAAAGGTTTTTATCTACTTTTGGAACATTAGAATGTGATTTTCACGTCATGAATTCTGTGTGGAATGCCACGTATATTTTACATATTTTGTAACGGTGAAACTGTTGGTTTAGGCCTTGTTATTTGCTTCACGGTACCTTCGATTTAGGCCTTTTTAAATACGCTTTTATTAAATCACATGTTCACGACAATTCATATAAATGTGTTGAGCTGTCTCGAGATTCCCTTATTAAGTCTTTTAAGGTCCATATTTGGCATTTACACGAACCCACCTAGTTGTGATAACGCAAAAACTTGATTTGACTAGCCAAGTCCAATTCGGTAAAGCCTCAAAACTTCGACCGAACAGGATTAGCGATGTTAAAAACGATTTAATACATCATGAACTCACCTTCGATGAACGAATTCACATTACACTCGCGCGCATCCGATATTATATTGATATTTCCACTGAGCTGAACATCCACTGGCACAGAACAGTCAAGACACGTGACGCGGCGACAATAAAAGAATAAACTATTTTGTGAGTTACGTCAGTTTGCTTAAGGACACACAATCGTCTCTAACGAACGCCGGGCCGCGACTGAACTGAAGTTCTGAAGCAGCACGCGGTGGACGCGAATGTTTCTAATTTTATCGTGCCAGTAATACGAGATAAAGCCGGTCTTTATTGAGGATTTTTTTATTTTATTTTATAAGGATCAGACGGCTCTCATATGCGCACGGCCTACTAATGAGGCACTCCGTTCCAGTCGGTGGTACTGACGGAATTATTTTGAGGTGCACTGATTCTATGTTTTATTAATTTAGCTTGGCTGCGAACAGTTCCGAGTTGCTATCACATTTTGTATTTATCGAACTACTGTTTGTTGCTTCTTCACTAGATTTTTTTTATTGCTCAGATGGGTGGACGAGCTCACAGCCCACCAGGTGTTAAGTGGTTACTGGAGCCCATAGACATCTACAACGTTAATACGCCACCCACCTCGAGCTATAAGTTCTAAGTATAGTTACAACGGCTACCCCACCCTTCGAATCGAAACGCATTACTGTTTCACGGCGGAAATATGCAGAGTGGTGGTACTATCCCTGTGCGAACTCACAAGAGGTCCTACCACCAGTAATTACGCAAATTATAATTATGCGGGTTTGATTTTTATTACACCATGTTATTCCTTCACCGTGGAAGTCAATCGTGAACAGTTGTTGAGTACGTATTTCATTAGAAAAAGTGGTACCCGCCTGAGATTCGAACACCGGTGCATCACTCAATTCGAATGCACCGGACGTCTTACCCTTTCGGCCACGACGACCTCAAAGTTCTATCCTAGGTCTATCTAAGCAAAAAGTGGTCTCAAGCATAGATAATTTGGTTCAATGCTCATTCCAGTATATGCGTATCTAGTAGCCTCCTCCAGCATTTTATCCAATGTCAGCGACGTGTAGGTGAGCTCACGGGGCTCAAACCGGGAGTGCTGCTAACACTGGCCCTAGCAAGAGTAGTGCTTTGCAGAATTTACCACCGGATCGGAAACGCGACCCACTGAAAAGATTCGGCGAGAAACTCAGTGGGTTATGTTTATGGGTTAATTCATTCGTGGAGTCCTTCGTCGCAAGCGATGGGTTCGATGAGGACGGTGACCGGTGCTTGAGATAGGTACCTAAAAGCACCGTTAATGGATCGGGAGAAACCGTAATGAGGTATAACCTTCTAGTTTCTATCTAAAGTATTAGTGGCAGAGCATCTTGGAGTCATTGGAATTGTCGTGGCCTAGATAAGACGCTCTTACTAGTATCAAACGATGCGACCATGCCCATGGTTCCAATACCGCAGGCAGATAAACATTTTTGTAATGAAATACGTACATAACACGTTTTCGTGTATGCCTCCCAAAGTGATGCAATAAAATCGTGTGATAAAAAAAATATATTAATTTGCGAAAACCGCGACGGTGCGTTAATCGGTCAATTGTTACTCTATTAATTTTAATATTAACAGCTTCCAATCTTATCTTCACTAGTAGGTACATTTGGTTTTACATGAAGTTGATTTTCATGTCTCATAAGCACAGTTAATTTCTTGTTGAGTACGCAGCAGAGAATATGTTCAGAAAATTGACGAACACAACCGTTTCAAAATTATTAATGAATCTTAGTCTAACAATGGTTTAATTAAAATCAATCATACTGATATCCAAACATGGATGAGAGAATGCGTAGTATTGTTCCCAACGTTTGTAATAATAATACAAGCGTAGAAAATGAGTATCAGAGCTTCTGTATTAATAAACCGACTTGATATAAGGAAACTAACTTGTTTAGAACCAAGGATACAGAAAAGGTTTTCTTTTTATTGCTTAGATGGATGGACGAGCTCACAGTCCACCTGGTGTTAAGTGGTTACTGGAGCCCATAGACATCTACAACGTAAATGCGCCACCCACCTCGAGATATAAGTTCTAAGTATAGTTACAACGGCTACCCCACCCTTCGAACCGAAACGCATTACTTACTGCTTCACGGCGGAAATAGGCGGGGTGGTGGTACCTACCCGTGCGGACTCCCAAGAGGTCCTACGACCAGTTTAAAATCGTTCAATCGTCTTGACATATGAGCCCGAACCGGCAGCAAGAAGTTGTTACTTCATTTATTTTTCGATGTACCTATCACTTATTTCTGGAATTTGTGTAGTTGCTTGAAATTCAATGCATTTACAAATCTAATATTAGCGTAATATCTATGTTTACAAACGAACGGTAGACCATAGATAATAAATACACTTCACATTTAAGCGGTGGACCGATCACCATAGCAACCGTAGCGAAGCACTTCAAAACAATCACGCGTTGCTTTTGGCGTAATTCAAACATTATCAACATGGATTTAAGACTTATGGATAAATTGCGTTTATTAAAAATCGACACGGATCTGCGTCCCCAGATAAAAATGAAACCGTTGAGTCGATATTATTTCGTGACGTCCACTAATCCGAACGAACAGTTTTTCGTGTTTGCCTCGACAGCGGCCTGGTTGATAAGGAAGTGTGGCAAGGATTTCGCTCAGCCCAACGAAGAGGACGATCCTAACACAATCATAGCTGCAGTAATTGATGTACTCAAAGAAAACGAAGTTAATGTTGATTTCTCTTCGCATAAACTAAAACAAGGATGGGGCGATCAAGTGTGTAGTATTCTGAATATTCTCTCAGATGAAGCATTGAAAAAAGAAAACTTTGAATGGCAAAAACCAGTTGTTGACATACCAGAATCAGAAGAGTCGGTTGATGACATTGATCAAGTTGAAGACGAAACCGAAATATTACTGGACAAAGTTGAAGATGAAATGCCCATTTATTCTGATGAATCTGAAGGAGAATTTAATGCTGACGAAAAAGAACCAAGTAACATAGCCCAAAAGGTTCACGATTGGGAAGCCTGGAAATTAGAATTGGAAAGGGTCGCTCCGGCTCTAAGATTGAAGATATCCGCCGATGGACGCGACTGGCGAGCGAGACATGCACAAATGAGGAGTTACAAAGAAGAGTTATTCGATAGATTTAAAACAACGGGAGCCCAGCTGAATAAATTGCACAGTAGCATTTCATCGGCTATGGATAAGGTAACGGCCAGGGAGAATATATTGAACGAGCAATTCGAGCCCCTTGTAAAAGAATATGGTTCTCTACTAGACGAACTAAACAAAGTGACAAATGAATATAAAGAGGCCAGTGTTGGTATCACTGAAAGGCAAGACATGTTGAACGAGCTTTCAACAAAGCTAGAGAATATTAAACAAAGAACCGAATCTAAAGGGTCTTCGATGAACGACAATTCTCCTCTAGTTACAGCAAAGAAAGCTGTCGCGACCTTGAAGAAAGATATACAGGAAATGGACTTTCAGATCACGGTGTTGCTGTGGCTTCTAACAACAAAGGAATCGAATGGCAACAGTTTACTTAATAACAAGGAATCTGGGATGATTGCCAACGAAGTGTACTAAATACAATCTATACTAATACATCAATCTACAGTGGTTTTTCCGGATGTTCCGTTATAACTACTAAACCGTGCATCCGATTGACTTGAAACTTGGTATCCATGTAGATAATACATGTACTTAAGGGATAGGCTAATATTTATGTGTTGGACTCCCTACACCAGTTGCGGGGGCGTTAATGATGAGAATCTTTGTGGGGGTGAGAAATAATAATGTTTAAATGCCCAGCGAAGCGGACGGGTACAGCTAGTTAATTATAATTTTAGATTGATACAGTATTTGTACGAAGTTTTTGGTGTGTCGCTATTAATGTTGGCAAATCGAATCCATGGTTTGCCGCTAAGCAGTCTCAACAAAATAATTCTGTCAAAACGAAATGGTTTGTTATTTGTTGAATGCAGTGTATGGATTTTAATACGACTGTTTTGCCAGACTTTATTGTACTACCGAACAATGCATTTATAAGACATGAAATTTATTAATGTCTTGTTTCAATAACTGTTTGTAGTTTTTTAAGATTTATTTTGTCTCATGTATGCAAACTCTTCTTTGTACTACTAGGCTACTTTGGTCATATTGTCAGTTAGGAACCTAACAATTGTCACAAACTGGTGGCGTTGTGGCTAAAGTAAATTGCAAAAGGCCTCATAGATGCCCTTGCTTTTACCAAATGAAGACATTCATTGGCCTACCTCACTTCAGCTCTTAGAGTTGCTGAAAATCGGCGACCTCAGTTGAAAGAAGAACACGATCAAGAAGGATCAGAAAAAAAATTGTAAATTTTGATGACATTAATTTTTATATTGGTGGGCTATAAATAAATACCTATCAGCGTTTTATCCGGTTTTCTCGAGTCTTAGACATAATTAAAACTAATTTTACGATTTAATATAATAAATATCCTTTTTATAGTTTTTTTTTAACACGGACGTCGGACCACGAAAACTGTAAAAGTATTCAAAACTCTTTTTCTTTTTCTCCACCTTATCCCACTAGGTGGGGTCGGCACAGCAAATTTTTCTCTTCCATTCTCTTCTATCAGCCGTCATCTCAACACTCACTCCTCTTTCTCTCTCATATCGTCATTCACACACTCCATCCTCTTCCTCCTCGAAGTATTCGAAATGTCGGATATAATGTTATAATTCTAGAAGTGAAAGGCTATTTGGTTTAAGCGCCATGTTTGCAACTTTACAGGAGTTTAAAATTTGGAAAAAATATCATACCAAAAAAACTTCTTTAGCTATTTGAATGGGGTAAACTTATAAGTTTGAATGGGGTAAACTTATAAGTTTACCCCATTCAAATAGCTAAAGAAGTTTTTTTGGTATGATATTTTATCCTTCAATTCAATTCCGAACTTCAATTAAGTTGAAGTTCAATAATTATAAAAACATCGAATTGTTGATGCTAATACCAAATGAAATGGCATTTAATTACAAAGATAAATGTCGAGCCAAATAACCTGTCACCCCACGATATAATGAAGAAAAAAAAACTCGATATTAAGCTGTAAAATATATTTTAATTAATATCTGTTAGTTCTTTGAATTGCAATTTAAATATTGTATTACAAAAAGATTGAACATAACAGTTAATATTGACGAATAAAAATAAAATAATACACTTTTGGTGATTTATTGAATACATTTATTTTCAGTAGTGACAACATATTAACAATAAAAATGAATTATTCTCAATATAAATCAATCGAAGAATGTTCGATAACTTCTGGAATTTAATAATACAAATACCACAAAGTTACATATCAGAAATGTTTTAATTTATTTAATCATCATTTTTTTTATAGTAATTTTTTAAAGCTATCATGCTATGATGTATTGCACAAATAAATAATATATAATGGATTTATTTTAAATACTTACGTTACTGCGGATGTTGCATGCAAAGCTAACATACAGTCATAGCAAAAGACATTTTAAAATACAAACCGAAGAAGAAAAAAAATTACAGTTTTGACAAGATGTAATTACTTTTTTGGAATTTACATTTGAATGAAAACAAAAACTGTATTGATTATTATTTTATTTTTTATTAAATTTTTTCGGGTTTTATTTCCAGATGTGTCTGCTTGCGTTAACTTTAGCCAACACACAATATATTTTATAAGCTCTAATATACAACAGAAAAAATTTTTGAATAATAAAAAAAATAATAATAATCAAACAACGCATATTATTATAGTATATAACTGTGACTTAGTACACGTGTCCAGTTGCATTACGGCATTTACGTCGTTGATGTCCACGGGCTCCGGTAATCATCGTCGTCTTACCATTGCTCAGGTCCAAGCAAAAGAAATAAATATGATTTGGGGTCTCATTTCGACTTCTCTAAACCTACTGTAGACTGTACTTATGAATTACTCATTTCCTACGCCCGCGTTGGCTGAGTTTTGGCCAACATTTATTGGCTCTAGATTGAATCGCATTATTTGACTACTGTGTACTTACTTTTGTGCATTTGACGTAAATTTAGTCTTTGGTACTTAAGGAACTAAACAGAACATGGTACTTTAATTATTAATAAAACAAAATTGTTAAGGTTTGGTCCATTTTCTTTAAATATATTTAAAAATTTAAATAAATATCGCATCAATTCTTTATTGAATAGGTTAAGTTATTATAACTAACTATTAGACATGATATTCCGCCATGTTTTCCCCTAAACAAAAACAAAAAAGATACCGCAAAATCCAGACTAAAATATATTGGAACTAAAAAAGTATGTATCATTAACTTATAATCGATTATATATTATAGATATTCCGTGTACTTATCTCATACAACTTTCAAATTAAATTGAATATAGACACACGAATAAAGAGATATTTACAAAATTAAATAATAATGTTGTAAACATAAATAAGCTTAAGTAAAGAAAGCTTAAAGTATCTTATACCTTTAAACGAGCAATTATTGTATATTAATATATTTGTATATAATCTGAACCTCGGAAACGGCTCCAACGATTTTCATAAAATTTAGTATACAGGGGATTTCGGGGGCGATAAATCGATCTAGCTACGATTTATTTTCAGAAAATGTTGTTTTATTCGTGTTTTCAATAATCAACTCTTCCCGACATCTATTGGCGAATAATAATACTATTTTTCTTAATTGAGGGCAACTAACCGNATATATTTGTATATAATCTGAACCTCGGAAACGGCTCCAACGATTTTCATAAAATTTAGTATACAGGGGATTTCGGGGGCGATAAATCGATCTAGCTACGATTTATTTTCAGAAAATGTTGTTTTATTCGTGTTTTCAATAATCAACTCTTCCCGACATCTATTGGCGAATAATAATACTATTTTTCTTAATTGAGGGCAACTAACCGCTTTAAAGATATAACAAGATGGCGTTATCAAAAAAAAAAAAACCGAGTAATGCTCGGTCATCATCTAGTTAAAATTAAAAAGGACCATAGTATAAATATTGTGTGTTTTATAATTTAATTAATAATTCATTTTAAGCCACAGCGAGATCAGTTATTAATGAAATTCGTTTTAAATTGTATTATATATAAATAAATTAAATGTAAAAAGTAAATGCAAAGAGAATGTATGTAAAATAGATAACACAATTTAGTTGTACTTATAAATAAATATCTAAACTATATATTAATCTTATATCGTAATTTAAATAAAAATACTGCTTCATTTGTTAAATAAATAAAATTTTGTCTTACCTAAAAAAAATTTTTATAGTATAAACCAACTTTTTTTTGTCAGGCAACATTTTAATTTTTTTAATTTTTTATCTTGGCAACAATTATTTTATTTTGGAAGTTTAAATATTCCTTTCATACTTTAGGATGATTAGAAATTCAGTTACACATTTCAAAACGAAGCTTGCAACATTTATTTATTGATGTAATGATTTATAATAAAATATGTGGATGAATAATTCAACATTTCAAAGGCATAACTATATGAAGTTCCTTATTGCGATTCTCATGTTACACGCGTTTTAAAGCCAACATTATTTTGATTTATTTAAAGTAATTTGATGGCAGACTACAATTAATCGACATGAAGGACCAATTAATGAATTTTTAGATAGCATCCCTGAACGATCACCTCATTAGCGGCGGACAGCCTTACCATGGCGCCCGGCTTCGGTTCCCGGTCGGTCAAAGACATTTCTCGATGTCTATAAAAGCTTTTAGCGTATGAGCGTTCGTGAGCGTTCGTGAGCGCTCGTGAACACATGTCATAATTTACCACGGAAAGCATTAATTTGTTAATTTGATGCGTTTTGAATACAATAATTCGACGCTTGAAAGGCAAACGTGACTAAGCGACAATGCGTGAACTTTACAGTAAATTAATTTTAAGTTGAAATACCTGAAAAAAATTCTATTTTAACGAATCTAGCTGTAGGATTGAAATGATTTTAATAGACCTAGATATATAATTTTTTTTGCGCATCAAATATGGTTATTGCTTATCATTTATGTATAAAGCAGTTATTGTCGCTTAGTCACGTTTGCCTTTCAAGCGTCGATATGATTGAGATTATCGTAATTTTTGGTACCACAATGAGCGTTTAACGGATCACAGCCGAATGCGCGAATTTTCGCTGGTCACCTAAGGCAACTCCTTAGCCTGGTTTAGTAGCAAGCTCTTGGCCTGTCCGAGGTACACACTGTCCGATTTCGAAGGTCCTCCCAGGGTCATGTTATACTTCCTGCTCAGGTCGTCCATGAATTCTTGTTTCAACAACGCGAGACAACTGCATTCAGATAATAACAGCTCAGATCTAATTATATAATGGTTGTATGTAATGTATATAATGTGTTGAATGTATACTTTTACTGGTGGTAGGACCACTTGTGAGTCCGCACGGGTAGGTACCACCACCCCGCCTATTTCTGCCGTGATGCAGTAATGCGTTTCGGTTTGAAGGGCGGGGCAGCCTTTGTAACTATACTCGAGACCTTTATACTTATATCTCAAGGTGGGCGGCGCATTTACGTTGTAGATGTCTATGGGCTTCAGTAACCACTTAACACCAGGTGGGCTGTGAGCTCGTCCACCCATCTAAGCAATAAAAAAAAGAGCCCTACACCCCAGCAGAGGGTGATAGGAAAGAATGATGAATGATGATATAATGGTTAGGAATTTTAGTATTTACTTTAGTTTTCGCGAGCCGTAGACATAATTAAACCAACTAAAATCAAATCAAGTATTGTTTTATACGTAGACATTTGAATTGTTAATTGGAATACAATTCTTGAGACGTGTAGCCGCAACGCTAAATGTGGCACAGACTATCAAGTGCCTAATAACATTCGTTCACTAATACACTCAATCGTTCGCTCACTCATTCTTTCTGTCAAAGTTATCGGTCATTCGAAAATGTCCGAGAGGACACCATCATTTGGCCTGTGACAATGTCATTGCCACTCCTTCCACGTGTCTCAAGGCGAATGGCGTAATTCGCGTCGTGAGCCTTATTCATCGGCCACCACTTAGTACTAGGCAATTTAATTTAAATCGATATTTTTTTCTTATCAAAATTACTTTTTGTTTGTTCTTTTTTATTACCCTTCTAGACAGACGAGCATACGGCCGACCTGATGATGAGTGATTACCGTCGCTCATGGAATCCAGCAATGCCAGGGGCAAAGCCGAGTCGCTGCCTACCGTTAAGGACTTTCGACAAGCTTCGTTTGAAAAAGAACATGTCATAGCGCTCGGGAAGCACCGTGCAGGGAAGCTCATTCCAAAGGCGGATGGTACGTGGCAGAAAAGGTCTCTGGAAACGCACTGCGGATGAGCGTTTTACGGTTTAATTTGGGGGTTTTCTAGTCTATTTCTGCCGTGAAGCAGTTATGCAGTATAGTAGCCGTTTGTTACTATACTGAGACCTTAAAACTCATATCTCGAAGTGGGTGGCGGCATTTACGTACGGTACGTACGGTAGATGTCTATGGGCTCCGTTAACACCTAGTAGGCTGTGAGCTCGTCCACAAACCTAAGAATTGAGGACCGAGGAGGGACAGTACGTACATGCGACAGTGCGGGTTGGCGCGAAAGGCGGATCCGTAATGACGTGTTTTAGTTTTAATCGTGTCTACGGCTCGTGAGGGGGGTGTAGTGTGTGTGTGGGGGGGGTAGGTACGTACACGCGGTAGTGCGGGTCGGCGCGGAAGGCGGTGATGTCGGGCGAGGGCGCGTGCGGCGTGTGCACGAGGAAGGCGGCCGGCAACACGAGCGCGCGGTGCCCGGTCGCGCGCAGCTCCACGCTGTGCGACACCTGCGCCGACACGATCATACGATAGCAGCAACACGAGACTGAAAGTTCTAGCCCTACTAGCCCTAACAAGAGCAGTGCTTCGCAGAATCTAACACCGGATCGGAAACGCGACCCACTGAGAAGATTTTTTTTCCCTACCTATGCTGATAGCCTTGAGAGGCTATTTCAGCTTCGCCCTAACAAGTAGGTGAGCTCATGGGGCTAAAAACCAGAGTGGTGATAACACCGGCCCTAGCAAGAGCCGTGCTTCGCAGAATCTACCACCGGATCGGAAACGGGACCCACTGAGAAGATCCGGCGAGAAACTCAGTGGGCTGTGTCTGTGGGTTCATTTACTCGTGGAGTCCTTCGTCGTAAGCGACGATTTCAACGAGGACGGTGACCGGTGCTTGTGGTACCTAAAAGCACGGTTAATGGATCGGGAGGATTCATAATGACGTGTTTAGGGCGACGTCGACTGTTTTAACCCAGGATCGGGAATGTAGTTACCGGCAGTCACGATGAGAGGGTTCTCGTGTCGTGCCGCTTTCTGAAAATGGAGATAATTCAACCTAATGTCTCAATGCATACAGTTTATATTCGCGAGTGAAAATATAATTTTGATACTCGCCTTGTTCCAGCCGAAGCCCGAGAATCTGGTGTCGTATTTAGGCACCGACCGGTGCACCACCAGGTAGGGCTCGTAGTCGGACTCCCACTCCACCTACAACCAATTGGGATCATCATCAGGGTGGTTCATGGTTTTTTTTAATATTTTTTTTTTAATTTTTTATATATAATTTTTGACGTGGCAACCAGTCTTTTAAACCAAGTTTCATATTTTCTCTTAACGTTCTGTTATTAATTTAAGATTTCAATCAAAAGGGATAAAATTAAATGAAACTATACGAGACGAGATATGGTTTCAGTAAAGTGGTGGTTATTTATTGAGACTCATTCAGTGGAATTCTTGGAAGATGAACCCATGAAGCTATGTGCAGCTTTGTTTGATTTTCCCACCAAAACACGTTCGGAGATACTTCGGCAATCTTGGAAGCTGCGGGCAGTACATACTCATACTCACTGTGTTACCCATCCTTCGTGTCAGTGCCTACCCAATACAGTTAGTGAAGCAAAACTACTACTACTGCTCCTAGACGCACACACACACGCACACGCTAGCCCGCACGCACGCACGCTCACACGCACGCACGCACGCACATCAACTAACTGACCTCATAAGGAGCAGTGGCGGTCATCCACCTCGTGTAGTTGGTGGCCCGGTGTCCCCGCGGCCACTCGCGGGTGCGGAAGGGCGCGACGTCCCCGGCGCCGTGCCGCGCCGCCAGCCGCGCCAGCAGCGCCGCCTTGTCGCGCGGCACGGACGCGCGGTACCGCTGCGTCTCGAACGCGGGCACCACCAGACACTGCGACACAATCTGTTTCCTCTACCCATGCTACTCACCCCGAGGAGTTGTACCGGCTTGTACTTTTTTCTCCTACCTACGCCGAATGTTCGGTTTTCGTCTCGCTGTACAGGGAAGAAAGTGTAACTTTTCCTCCCTGGGTACAAGTGCGCATGCGCGTTAGTGTCTACGTCTGCTCTCACGCACCTAAAATTCTCCGCCATTGTTGTGCTCCGGTAATTTACAATATTGTGTTTAGTGTAAAAGTGAAATAAAGAAAAGGCAATAAAATTTAATAGTGAAGTATTAAACAAAGATGAGTTCATCAGACAGTTCTTATTCAATTAGTAGTAGTTTATTTAAAAATAAAAAAAACGTTAATTTGTTTTTTATTAGTATGGGGGTGCTCAACCCCCCCAACCCCCCGCCAGAGCTTCGCCCCTGGACCCCGGCTCGGTACACCACGAGCTTTCGGCCTCGTAGGAGAAAAATAGTATGTGCACCGCGAGAAAAAAGTAGGAAATCTCATCCCGCGTGTTTGCAAATAGCACAATGTATTATTAAAGTCGTCGTGGCCTAAAGGATAAGATGTCCGGTGCATTCGTATCGAGCGATGCACCGGTATTCGAATCCCGCTGGCAAGTACCAATTTTTCTAATGAAATACGTACTTGACAAATGTTCACGATTGACTTCCACGGTGAAGGTGTAATGAATTTTTTTATATCATTTACAAAATTATAAATTATAATTTGCGTAATTACTGGTGGTAGGACCTCTTGTGAGCCCGCGCGGGTAGGTACCACCGCCCTGCCTATTTCTGCCGTGAAGCAGTAATGCGTTTCGGTTTGAAGGGTGGGGCAGCCGTTGTAACTATTCTGAGACCTTAGAACTTATATCTCAAGGTGGGTGGGTGGTGGCATGTAGTAAAAAGCGATTATTTCAATATTACAAACAGACACTCCAATTTTATTTATATGTATAGATAATAGAAACGTGACAGTAACTGGCCGTAACGCTTTCCATGCAATGAGTATTAATATCATGCTATAAAAATAAATCGAACAGTCCCTTTTTAGTGTTGCTTCTTCATTTCATCAAGTTTCAAATCGCGCATCGCTACAAAAGTCCCAGACTACGATTACGCAATTGTATTTTAGTTTTGATGTAAGTACACTAATATGTTTCAATAAAAAGTTTTCACTCTCACCGTACCTTTTTCTGTGGATAAGGGTTTATGAGTCGTATCGCGTCCCTGAGATGTTGGTACAGGCCCGCCATGGGGACGAAGTCGACGTCCATGAGGAACACGTAGGGCGTGTTCACATTGTCCAGCGCGACGTTACGGAGATAATTCACAGGGTAATGTACCTGGACGAATACAAATGACACATTTATTTGAGACTAGCTGTACCCGTCCGCTTCGTTGGGCATTTAGAATTAACATTATTATTTATCATCATCATAATCGGTTCATCTAGAGAAAAGTTTTGAATTGACGCAAAACAAAAAAAAAGGGTGCGTGTGCTTATGTACGCGCGTAAGAATATATATATATATTTTAATATTAAATAATTAATAATAAATAACCAAAATAACCAAAGTCGACGACATAGCTCTCAAAGCTAGCAGGCTGAAGTGGCAATGGGCCGGTCACATCTGTCGAGCCAGCGACGCCAGGTGGGGGAGGAAAGACCTCGAATGGAGGCCACGGATGGGTACAAGGAGCGTGGGGCGTCCTCCAACCAGGTGGACTGACGACTTAGTGAGCACGGCGGGAAGTCGTTGGATGCGGAAGGCAGAGGACCGCATTATGTGGAAGGCATTGGGGAAGGCCTATGTCCAGCAGTGGGCAGATAAAGGCTGATGATGATGATGGTGATGATGAATAATAAATATTTAACGTTAATAATTTAATAATATTTAGTATGAATTATATTAAATAATAATTTTGTCATTTATATTACTAAAAAATGAATGCTAATAACACTTTTTTTTTACAAATGCACATGCCCAAATGTTCACCTGCGGCTATATTCAGACTCGCCAAGTTACGTCGGTCGTATTGTAATGAGCGATTTAGTGGGCAACTTCATTCTGTTAATTTTGTGTCACGGTGCGCGCGCATCGTAAAATTTCAGTCTCATCAATTTTTCATAACGCGCCTAAAGAAGTATAGCTTCAAAAAAATACAACCTAATTGAGAAACCTTATTTTGAAATCGGTCAAACGAAACTAATTGCTCCATTTTATTGTCTTAAGCAACTTTAAATCTTTTACATTATCCAAGTTTAAAATAATAATAAAACTGTCATTCATATAAATACTAGCGGACCCGGCCACACGTTGCTGTGGCTGTGGCTTAGGTTTTTGTTTCTAAATAACTCGCGGCCGCCTATGCTAATACCAAAAATTGACAACGTAAGAACAATTGGATTTCACTGTATTGCGTTTACTACGAAATAAATTTCACTTATACTTTAGCCTCAGAAACACGTGGTGCTTATGCCATTAAATTGTAGCTNTCACTGTATTGCGTTTACTACGAAATAAATTTCACTTATACTTTAGCCTCAGAAACACGTGGTGCTTATGCCATTAAATTGTAGCTTATGTGAAACGTTGGTATTTTTAGCACAGCGCCATCTATGAGATATTAAAGTCACAGTATAACAATTGTCTGTAAAAACTGATTTAAGGCGCCATCTGTTTTAGACTTATGAAACTTACAATGAGTAACAAAAATCAACATAAGAAATCATTTTATTGTTAATAAATATTGCGACCATTCATCGAAATAAAAACCGTCCTATCTCTCAAGTTGGATCGAACTGCACATGGTGTGCGAATTTTATTATAATCGGTTAAGTGGTTTAGGAGTCCATTGAGGACAAACATTGTGACACGAGATTTATATATATTAAGATTAGTTTGCTGACGAGTTGTAATATTTATTATTTATTGTTAAATTATATCACTTATCATATTTTTTTAATTAATGTATTATTCAATAAGATTTACTATCATAAAATTGTTCGTAAATAATAATGATTACTATTAACTATTAGAATCGTTCAACTTTGTGACATGCTTAATTCTGTTTTAAAAACTCATTTCAAATAATGAATTACATTCGGCTTTATAATTGCAATTTCGATACCTAGTTAATGGTTTCAATAATGAATTTTAAATGTTTTTTTAATCTTCCTTCAGTGGAAGGAATTTTAGAACTTGTGAAGAATTTTTTACTGGTAGTAGGATCTCTTGTGAGTCCGCACGGGTAGGTGCCACCACCCTGCCTATTTCTGCCGTGAAGCAGTAATGCGTTTCGGTTTGAAGGGTGGGGCAGCCGTTGTATCTATACTTGAGGCCTTAGAACTTATATCTCAAGGTGGGTGGCGCATTTACGTTATAGATGTCTATGGGCCCCTGTAACGACTTTACACCAGGTGGGCTGTGAGTTCGTCCACCCATCTGAACAATAAAAAAAAATCAGAGATGCAACTAACCGAATCATGTTTGAATACTAAGTGGTATCCGATGTTCTTCCGGGAGCTTAGCGTGTCCGACCAGTCCCGCGTGAAGCTCTCCAGCTTCGTGACGTCACAGTCCGACAAATATATCGCTGCACTTAACGGACCTAAAATTTGATTAAAATCTATTCACGTTTTGAAGTTTTTTTAAGTTTTATCGCGGGCTTTGAGCGCGGCAACTGAATCAAGAAATTTCGTAACGAAAATAAAACCTAACACCTGCTATTCCGCCTACCATGTAGCTCGCGTTTAACACATTCACACGTTACGCTTGTGTAGTGTTTGTGAATAAGCGCGCGGCGTTACGTCGTACTGCATGCGCATCATGAAAAGTCTGCCCATCTCTTTCTCGCGCTGTCTAGCTTATGAGTGTGAAGGGGACAGTTAATGTTTTGCTTTTGTTAATGTTTATAAATATAGCGTGGTCTTACTTTATTATTGTTATTAATTGTTAATATTGAATTATTATATTCTAATTATAATTGCATAAGTTGATAAAAAATGCTATGCAATATAGCTTTACCGCGGCAGTCTCCGAGTGCCCCACGTGTTTTTTTGTTATTGCCCGTGTAGGCAAACGAGCGTACGGCCCACCTAATGGTGAGTGGTTACCGTCGCTAATAGACGTAAGCAATGCCAGGGGCAGAGCCAAGCCGCTGCCTACCGTTTTAATAACAACAAATTGCTAAAAACAAAGATAAATGCACTTGACCGTCTAAATGTTGCTACTTAATCTAACTCTTATGCTGAATGTTAATTATAACATAATAGTTAAATGTAGTATTAGCTATATATTCTATTAATAGGACACAAACTCCAATAACCCAAAAAAAAAATTTACAAAATTCATTTTGTATAGTTTGTCACAATCCGCATATAAGACTTCACACATTACACGTTACAATTAAAAAAATACCTTCCCAATGATTGACAAGTCTCTCCAGAAACTGCAGTCTGTCCATGGACAGCTGCAGAACTAACGTGACGTCGAAGTCGTCGATATTATTGTAGCTGTAGTCCATGTAGTACAAGTGAGTACGCAGCTTAATGTTCTGAGCCGAACGAAAACTAACACACAGATCGGAGTAATTTATCTGAAATTAAAAAAAGGCATAGTTAGGTATTGTTTTTTTTTTTTGGATTTTATGACCTGGTATTTACAACCTTTAGGTCAAAGTTAGGTATAGTTCCTTAATATATAGAGTGTCCATACTTGAGACAAGGATGCTATAAGGCCTAATCTCTCCGCTCTAATATTTTTTTCTAAATATTAAAAGGTATTTTATCCAGTCGTTTACTGTGTTAAAGAAATAATGATGTTTTTATTTGAAAATGCTCTAATTGCGTATCGTAATTAGTAGTACAATCGTATAAAATTTATATTGTCACATTTGTAGAAGTAATATATTCATTTAAATATTCATAAAATTTTATATAATTCGTTTAAATAAATAAATAAATAAATTGACTGCTATAGGTGAACTTCAGCTTGCAATAATATTGTAAATTACATTATCATTAACTTAGAAATACATTAAAAAAAGAAAGTTTATTATGGTTTGTGACGTCACCGCCTAAGTGCAGACGTGCGAGTGAGATAGCTATATGTAGTCATTTAATCACAACACAACCACTCTTCCTAATATTAGACTACTAATTGCTAGTGTTACGCACTGGGGTTCGGGATAAACAAAATTCTACCGAAGTATAAATTAAAACTGTAGGTATTGACACTTAGAACACTTAACGAGCACTTTAAAATTCTTAATTCGCTTCTTCCGCTTCGCTTCAGGTGATTCGTTCGCAGTTTCGCTTCGAGTAGTTTCGATTACTAACTGACTGCGTGCCATCTCTGCAACGCTTTTATAGTCGATACGACACCCCTAGATTTATCGAGAACATTCTGGGCAAGTCGAGTAGCTTCGATGTGTGTTTCCACTATCTGACAATAGATGGCGTTGAACTTCTCAAGCTTTCTCGAAGTTACGAGTTCCAAATAACAATAGCTTATATAGGACTTACGGCCCATCTGATATTAAGTGGTTATCGGAGCTCTAAGGCATCAACAACGTAAAATCCCCACCCACCTTGAGACATGGGTTCTAAGTTTCAGAGTTACAATACAACAGCTGCCCCACCCTTCAAACCGAAACGCATTACTGCTTCACGGCAGAAATAGCGATATAAAAATATAATAATATTATATACTAACCTGTGCGGGCTTATGTGTATAAAGCTGGAAAAAACACTATATAGATGGTATCGTAAACCTTTAGGGCTAGTCACCATTGAAGCTTGCGGGACGAGTTTATAAGGATGTCGATTTGTTTTTGGATACAAAAGTCACATACCTTATTAGTCAACGCTTCATTCTGACTGCACGTATGCAGTTTCTCCCTCAACAGATTCCCGTCAAAATTAACATAGCTCTGATATAGATTACGGAAATAGTTCGCGTCTCTGATCTTTATATTGTACTTCGCTGGAGAGTTCCAATGAACGACCTAAAAAAAATTCACTTGTTTTATATTTAAAAACTATTTTGGCAGTCATCTATTTAGGTAAATATATTATGGAATCGGAGAACTCTTGTTCTGAAGAGCTGAGTAATCTTTACCAAGACTAACACAAACTNCAAAATTCTACCGAAGTATAAATTAAAACTGTAGGTATTGACACTTAGAACACTTAACGAGCACTTTAAAATTCTTAATTCGCTTCTTCCGCTTCGCTTCAGGTGATTCGTTCGCAGTTTCGCTTCGAGTAGTTCCGATTACTAACTGACTGCGTGCCATCTCTGCAACGCTTTTATAGTCGATACGACACCCCTAGATTTATCGAGAACATTCTGGGCAAGTCGAGTAGCTTCGATGTGTGTTTCCACTATCTGACAATAGATGGCGTTGAACTTCTCAAGCTTTCTCGAAGTTACGAGTTCCAAATAACAATAGCTTATATAGGACTTACGGCCCATCTGATATTAAGTGGTTATCGGAGCTCTAAGGCATCAACAACGTAAAATCCCCACCCACCTTGAGACATGGGTTCTAAGTTTCAGAGTTACAATACAACAGCTGCCCCACCCTTCAAACCGAAACGCATTACTGCTTCACGGCAGAAATAGCGATATAAAAATATAATAATATTATATACTAACCTGTGCGGGCTTATGTGTATAAAGCTGGAAAAAACACTATATAGATGGTATCGTAAACCTTTAGGGCTAGTCACCATTGAAGCTTGCGGGACGAGTTTATAAGGATGTCGATTTGTTTTTGGATACAAAAGTCACATACCTTATTAGTCAACGCTTCATTCTGACTGCACGTATGCAGTTTCTCCCTCAACAGATTCCCGTCAAAATTAACATAGCTCTGATATAGATTACGGAAATAGTTCGCGTCTCTGATCTTTATATTGTACTTCGCTGGAGAGTTCCAATGAACGACCTAAAAAAAATTCACTTGTTTTATATTTAAAAACTATTTTGGCAGTCATCTATTTAGGTAAATATATTATGGAATCGGAGAACTCTTGTTCTGAAGAGCTGAGTAATCTTTACCAAGACTAACACAAACTATGACGTCATTTGGGGCTAAATAAATGGACAACATATCTTTTTTTAAGGGATTTTGTAACCTGGTAACTAAGACCTTTAGGGTAAGTCTTATTTTAATCTATATTCTTATTTTTATGAAAAATGATAATATGAAGTGAAATGAAATAAAGTTGATTAATATGAAACATGGCATGGTACGAAATGAAATGAGATGAAATCTCAGTAAAATGGTGGTCATTAACTGAGAATTTTTCAGTGGACCTTTTGGAGGATCCCGAGAAGCTACGTCCAGCGGCTTTGTTTCATTTCCCCACATTTGTGCACTTTCACAGATACTAAATAGTTAATAAACTACCATTATTACATATTTAAACCTGAAGAAACACTAAATAGACAAAATACAACAAATCAGATAACTTCACTTCTCGCGTTCCCACCAAAAAGTCAATGGACAGCATTTGGTCACATATGATATAGATGTTTGGCTTGGTGTTTGGCGTTATGCACATTGCATTATCTTTGGCAGTCAAAGTTTCTTCATCAATTTCCGACTTTCAGATTGTATCATATGGAATATATCTGTTTTGGTTTTATTTCACATCTCAGATCAGCTGACAAGTGAGTCGTCTATTATCAAAGGTGGCAATCTGTGCATTTGGACAAAAAAATGTTATTGATATGTCAATACAGATTGATTTGAATATAATCGTCTCCTTCAAAGAATACAGTTCAAAACCTGCATTAAATAAAGGTTAATACTTAACCTGTTATTTATCTAAGATGTCGTTCAGAAGAGTTTTGTGACTGCCAATGGAATACAAAGTCAATAATTCGTTTTTCTGATTTACCAATAATTGTCCAAAAGTCACATTNAAAATGTTATTGATATGTCAATACAGATTGATTTGAATATAATCGTCTCCTTCAAAGAATACAGTTCAAAACCTGCATTAAATAAAGGTTAATACTTAACCTGTTATTTATCTAAGATGTCGTTCAGAAGAGTTTTGTGACTGCCAATGGAATACAAAGTCAATAATTCGTTTTTCTGATTTACCAATAATTGTCCAAAAGTCACGTTGCCGGCTTTGATAATAGTCGACTCAAGTATAAGGTATGTTTTTTTTAAGCCTCAAGGAACATTAATGTTAGAGCTAGATTTATTAGAAACTCCAAGTTTTTAGGCACAATTACAAGTATCCACAAATAAAATTTAAGAGAAAAATGTAAAAAAATATCTAAATTTTAAGAATTCAGTTAACTAAATATGTTTGTACAAATAACAAGTACAATTATGGTCTATATGTAAATAACTCTATCTTTGTAAAATAGTTTTGGGTTCGCTAGGAAAAAATATACTGGCATACTGGCATTGCTGAAGGTCTATTCCTTGAAAGGCCTTCGTGGCTCTTTGTACCATCATCTTCCATTTCGTTCGGTTGACCTGTTACCTCAGGGCAGTTGTAACAGAGAGTCCGGTGGTGATCGCGGCTACCTGATCTGACCAAAGGCTTGGTAATCAGCCGGGGGCCTTATCACTTCTATCTTGCTCACCACAACCAATTTTTCAAGGTTGTCTGGTTGGCGTCGAGCAATATGATCAAAGTAACTAAGAATTTTTTGGTAACAGATCATTAGAGTGTTAATGTCGGTTTATTAAATACACTTACTCACCTTAACATTATTCTTATTTTCGCGATAACAATTTTTGGACAGTGTCTTCGTCGACATTTGCACATTGTACTGACACCCAATTTTATAAACGTAATTAGGATGTTTCTTTATGATGGCATTGATAATGTCCTGGTCGGCGAGGGTCGTCTGCTTCAGCGACTCTATGTTCTCCTTAATGGCGTTCTGCCATAGATCAGTCCAGTCTATGTTCGTTCTGATCTTTTTCAAGTCCAGCAGCATCAGGCCGGTGTTGAAGCCCCTACCCAGGGCGGGCCATCGCTTCGCCGTGTCGTAATACCAATTACTTTCGTTTTCCACCAAACCTATAAACTGATGGATGTAAATATTTTTATTATATATAGTACTAGCTGTACCCGTCCGCTTCGCTGGGCATTTGAAATTGACATTATTATTTCTCCCCCTCACAAAGATTCTTATCATTAACGCCCCCGCAACTGGTGTAGGGAGTCCAACACTCATATAAATATTAGCCTATTCATTAAGTACATGTATTTCCTACATGAATACCAAGTTTCAAGTCAATCGGATGCATAGTTCAGTAGTTATAACGGAATATCCGTAAAAACCACTGTAGATTTATATATTAGTATAAAATTGAGTCGACTATTATCAAAGCCGGCAATCTGACTTTTGGAAAATGATTGGTAAATCAGAAAAACGAATTATTGACTTTGTATTCCATTGGCAGTCACAAAACTCTTCGGAACGACATCTTAGATAAATAACAGGTTAACTATTAACCTTTATTTAATGCAGGTTTTGAACCGTATTCTTTGAAGAAGACGATTATATTCAAATCAATCTGTATTGACATATCAATATTTTTTTTTTGTCCAAATGCACAGATTGCCACATTTGATAATAGACGACTCAAATATGAGTATGGTTAATAAGTTTTTTTTGTTCTGAAAAAACAAACTAAACATTTTCTCTAATTGTTATGAATACATACTTAGGCAAAATAATATTATAGACATTTAAAACGTAATTATAAGTGAACCCACAGGGTTAGGTACCGCCGCAAGGTACTACTTTATAAAACAATCATTGTACAATCCAACTGAGGCTTCGATCGTGTCTCCAGTGTGCTTAGTACGTGTTTTTTAACGTTCTCGATAGCGTAAAAGTTAACTAAAATTTGTATGGAGTTGGAAAAGCGCCCCTAGCGGCAAACGTAAGCAAACCTTCGAACTCCATACAAATTTAAGTTAACTTTTACGTTATCGAGAACGTTCCAAAACTCGCACTAAGCACAGACGGTTGGCGGAATTATGAAAAGTACCAGTTCTAGCAGTTTTCTTATTGTATTGTATTATAGTTTTACGTTACAAAACAAAGACAGTGAGCTTGTTTAGTGATCTTTTTTTTTTTATTGCTTAGATGGGTGGACGAGCTCACAGCCCAAGTGGTGTTAAGTGGTTACTGGAGCCCATAGACATCTACGACGTAAATGCGCCACCCACCTTGACATATAAGTTCTAAAGTCTCAAGTATAGTTCCAACGGCTGTCCCACCCCTCAAGCCGAAACGCATTACTGCTTCACGGCAGAACTAGGCAGGCTGATGGTACCTACCCGTGCGGACTCACAAGAGGTCCTACCACCAGTAAAATCATCTACTTAATTTACTCATTTTTCAAATTAACATTGTTTTTTTTTAAGAAGTGGTTTATTCCCATATCGATTCTGAACTTTGTATGTATGTATTAAATATCGCAATTACAGTATAATGAGAAAAAAATCGATTCAGAATGTATCGTAAACGTATAATTCAGTACGCACGAATTCGTCACGCACCTGTTCGTTGGTCATGTTCCTGAACATCCTCCAGAGCTCAGCTACGTCACTGAGAAAGGTCAAGTCCGAGTCCAATACAATGATCCGGTCCAGGTTCTCTGGCAGGATATCCGGGAACAACAGCTTGACCAGAGCGTATACACCGGAATAATGACTGTTGGGGATCCATCTGACCTCGGACAACCGATTCTGCGCGTTGTAGCATGTGTATTTGACTGAAACACAAATAAAGCACTTTTTTTTTTATTGCTTAAATGGGTGGATTAGCTCACAGCCCACCTGGTGTTAAGTGGTTACTGGAGACCATAGACATCTACGACGTAAATGCGTCACCCACCTTGAGATATAAGTTCTAAGGTCTCAAGTATCGTTAAAACGGCTGCCCCACCCTTCAAACCGAAACGCATTACTGCTTCACGGCAGAAATAGGCGGGGTGGTGATACCTACCCGTGTGGACTCACAAGAGGTCCTATCACCAGTAGTGTTATTATTGTTACTTTATTATTTCCTGCATCTCTATATAGGGTGTCATCAGAGTTAGGTCCTTGGATAAAGTTAAGATCTATCGCTTTAATATTGATTCGTGTGCAGATAATATATTAAGTCACTGTGATCTAAAGCGTAAGACTTAAGTACTTCGTGTACCAGTATCAAGCAATGTGACTAGGTCGCTCAGATCCGGAAAACATACTTTTTTTTTAAACAAAATAAGTACTTAACATTACTTCATGAATGACTTTCACTCAGCATCATACCCTTTAGGCCACTACATACTATTTATATGAATGTTGAGTAGTGTGTGGGGATAGTTTTTAGTTACATGACTAACAATACCAACTAACACAGAATAGCAACACATTCAGAGACCTATAACGACTGGCAACACCAATACGACTATAAATTCCTAGTCTCAATCATAATAAAGTTATTGTAATAATTGGGTGACATGATTAATAATAAACAATCTGTGTTTAAGCAGTATTTGAGAATTATGTTATGTTTTTAATTCTCATTCAACTCACCGTCAGGTAGCATCCAAGTATCAAATAGCACAGCAACTGTGTGCTCTGCAGTATTATCCACGACCATGTGAAAATGTAACGGATTCTGTCTGTTGTGTAACAACGATTTAAACATAGGAGTGATCAGTCTCGTACATTTACCCATACAAACTAATGCTATATGAATTGTTTCACACAAGGTGCCTATAGAATCTGGTATCTGAAATTTTTTAATTGTTATGATAATTCTAAAGCATATTATTGACTAAAACAAAGATTGGAATATTTTTTTAATGGAATTTGTAGACACATTTAGTCTGCTCTACGGTCAGTAATCATCACTGCCCATGGACGTCAGCAATACCAGGGGTACATACAAGATATCACTATTATTTAATATTTCATTTTTGTTATTGCACATTAAAAACTTAAAACAACTTGCTTTATTTTATTTTGAAAACCGATACTTCTATCTATCACAATCCTGCCTATTTGTGTAATTTGATTTGATGGATGGGGCAGTTGTTGTAGAATATAATTGAAAGTTATACAGCAGAGTTCTCTCAAAGTTGACTGCAGGTTCGCATTTTTGTAGAGTTCAACAACTATTAAACTCCTATTTGACTTAGAATTGCCTAACTCTAGTGATAACAAATAATAATAAAAGAACTGATTATAAATGAAACTTGATTACAATTCAAACATGATTTTCAGTTTCGCGCAATATCTATGATAAGAAATGTTATCTTTTCCACATAACAATGCATAGGTACTTTTATATTAATTTGATGAAATACTGGAATTATTTGATTTTGATGAAAAATCTAATTTCATTGATGAAGCTTTTTATTGTAGTACCTATATAGAGGTAAATTTTACAGTAAAAAATGAAAAAAGGGGTAATTTAGGGACGTCTGATTATGGAAAACAGACCATCTACATTATTGTATTGTAGACATTCATATTGTTATCTCATAGTTAAAATTGAAAAATGTAATATATGTAATATCGAAACAGAGATATGAATTTTGTTTGATATATTTAGCTTTTTCCTGTATTTGTTACTATGCGGTAATATATTTTTTATTTGTTCTATTAACAATATAATGTTCATGACAAACTGAATTATATAATATATTTTTAAAAATCAAATTATAGACAGTCAAGTTTCAAGACATAAATGACAGTATAAGCTGGGAAGAGTTATGCTGTTTTTAAAAAAATGGCAAATTTAAATCTATACTTAAAATATGAATGTAATTATACTCACAACATCCATTTTTCTATACTTAAAAGATGAATGTACTTATACTCACAACAGGAACTTGATATGTGGTAGTATATTCTACTGAAATTTCTTTCATTGCTTGATGTGATAACGTCAACTGTGTTTTATATACATTATTTTGCGACTCCAGTACACTTATCCTCGATATTAACCACCAATAATATATGACGGACACAACAATCCACACGCCAAATGGCATTATTAGCCATGGCCGGAGAACTAAGCAGGACAGAACGTTTTTTGTTCTAATATTCATTTCATATGGTCACTGTGCCTGTAATAAAAGTTAAATTTGAAGATATAATTTCTATTAACAATTATTTATAAGACATAGGTTCTCAAACTATTATTTTATTAATATCAATATCTGATTATATTTTGAATAGAGTGGAGATTTTTTTGTCTAACAAACGGTTGGCCCTAACAAGCTCAAGGAGTTCTGTGATGTTGACCTGACTCAGATTCTCTATTTTTTGTGCAGAATTTAAATTCTGTAATAATATTTATGCATAAAAGCAGTCATGGAAACATAATAAAATACATGAACTAATATGGAATAACCACATACTCCACTGCCACTCTCCTTAAATCCTTACAAGTTTATTAAATTTGGAGGTAATATTCCGATAAAATAATTTATACAGTTGGCTATAATAACTAATTTAATAATATAGTTATATTTTTCCTTTACCTTCCTGTAACTTTACCTTGTTTAGATAAGTTTTATTATCTTATTATATAATTTTTACATATTAGTGGTTACTGGGGCCCAGACATCTACAACGTAAATGTGCCACCCATCTTATGATATAAGTTCTAAGGTTTCAGTCTAGTTACAACGGCTGCCCCGCTCTACAAACCAAAACGCATTACTGCTTCACGGCAGAAATAGGTGGGGTGGTGGTACTTACCCATGCGGACTCACGAGAGGTCCTACCACCAAATTATAATTTTGCAAATTTGATTTTTATTACACGATGTTATTCCTTCACCGTGGAAGTCAATCGTGAACATCGTGTTAAGTACATATTTCATTAGAAAAATTGGTACCTGCTTGCAGGAACGCCGTTGCATCGCTAGATACGATTGCACCGGACCTTATCCTTTAGGCCACAATGACTACAATACCTAATTCGAGGTAACTAATACCAGAAAATGATTAGATATCCAGCAGTTTGTTTTATGCTTCAATCAATACTGATAAATATTTATAGTTTTCTCTTATAAATGAAATGTTATTTTAGAAGTAGTTAGAACACAACGGCTAGTTGTTGACTAAGTACTTAACAGAGCATCAAACAATTTGCCAGTTTCATATTTAAATAAAAAGCGGAATAAGCACCACGGTCCTGCCTGTTTCTGTTGCAGCTTGAAGAGTGGACAGCAGTTAAATTAGGAGACTTCCACCTCCTATTTCGAAACAGATTCTTATTGATATTACACAGTCCTTTGTGCAGGCTGTATAGGAAGAAAAGATGCATAAAAAGCTATTCCAAAAAACCAGTATCAATCTGAAGCAGTTAATACCGCTGGTGTGGTGGTAGCGAAGCATACCTTACTGAGGTCCTAACAGGAAAACGGCCAATTTTTATTATTTTCGTATTTATATTTTCAGTCTGTTTCGTCATATTATGCGCAATAATGCGAAAGTTATCCATCTTGTTTTAAATTGGTTTATTTACTGCAAAAAATTCCTTACCTTCCAATAAATAATTTTTGTATGTTTCAAATTGCTTCATCCAGTGCTGCGGTAGTTGCCACTGTAGATTTTACAAATACTTTAAGCAGCTGTTCAGCCATAAAGTATTTGTTAACAATAGCTATTAAATACTTTACATAATTACATTTCAATCAATATGAGCGGCTGTTAATTATTCGCAAATGTTTTAAACATGATACATTTATTAATAAATTATAGCTATATACATTCATTGCGTTTTATTTATTTACATTTCCATATTCTGTTTAAAGTTTGACATTAGAGGATTTTGTGGTAAAAATGATTTTGGCAGCTGACGTCATGATGCTGTCAGTGTTGTTTTTCATGTTTATTCAATGAATAGGCAAATGGTTCCGGAACACGCTATCAATTAATATTTAAGGCGAGACTTGCCAGAGAACGTCTTCCCACCTGTCCTGGTGAAACTGGAAAGGCCTCCGGGCCACCAGTAACCCTTCAATCATAAAAAAAAAAGTCTTTTTTGCAAAAAGCTAAATAAATTAATTTATCTTTGAAATTACTATAACTTTCATAGTCTTTCTGGTGGAGCCTGAGAAACAAGGAGCAGCGATTTGAATTTCACATCAACGCACTCTCTGTTCGACTCACTAAAGCCAGCTACGCAGAAATGTGTGTTGGGCAGCGTGACACTCGGTCAATTGGTTACTTAGTTTCCAGACTCCTACAGAGCAGTTTTAAGTGGTCTTTTTGGGTTTTCTGCCCCGATCCTTAGGCTGGTATATAAAGGGACTCAAAGCACTAGATTTAGGATTGAGGCATTGTTTTCTTTGACGGCAGCACTTGACAGCAGAGAAATCAGTATTCCATCGTATACCCTGCTCTATGTTCTGTTTGCACGATGAAGCCTTTGCAGATAGTACCACGACTCATTATGACTAAAAGTTATAATTACGATGCTCAGCAGGTATAAAACCTTTCAACCCAATTTCTATATGAAGACACGGCTGGGACATGATGACCGGTCTCGAGAACGAATCACCGAGGTTGGGCCTTCACTTGTTTGCTCCGAGTCTGCAGGTATCATCGTCTCCGATAATCAAGCGCGAAAGCCTCTGTGTTTGGGAAAAAGGCCGTCATATTCACCAACACGCACCTCAAAAGAGATGTACAATTTCTAATCATGACTCTGACCGTCATGGCTCGATATACTTAGGTCCGATCAGTTGCAACATGCTATGTACCTCGTTTATAGTCATAGCTTATCTTCTTATTTTTGTGTGCTTTAGAAGGTAATTGTCTTAGTTAAAAAAATTACCGTAAATTTTTGGTCGTAATAAAATTTAGTATATATAATATGGAGAATACAAAAAAAAAAAACACTAGGTACTACGATTTGGTATTTATTCAATACATTTAGAATTTGTATTATTTTAGAAAAGCAATGCCTACCATTGTAAGTAAAGTAAACTAAATCGATTTTCGAATACATAATTATTAAATGGCCTACGATATTATAAAAAAAACAGATATTTTGTTTCTATAAAATATGAAATTAGGTTAAAAAAATTGGCTAAGATGAATTTAGTTTTGTCATGTCTTGAGTCTTGGTGTTGTATTTAATTCAAAAACGATAATTAAAAATTTCCACGTAATATATATTCAAACATATCAACTCAATATAAAGTAAATTTTAAAAAAAGCATAGTGGTGGGATTGTTCAAATAAGTAAAACCTATGTAAGAAAATTAAAAATGATTACATAATCCAATTAAAAGCTATGTGTTCGGTTAATTTATACAATGTTGTTTTTTTTTAAATCAAGTATCCAAAATTACATAATAAGAATAAAGTAGATACTTCCATACATCGTTAAAACGGTAAAAAAATCACCTCGAACGCTACAACAATACGAACCATGTAAACACACAACTAAATAATTAAAAAAAAACTTATAGTAAAAATAAAACATTACTCTGAGCAAGATTAATTAATTTCAGTTTCTCCACCCCATTGTCTCGGTTGTCCCGGTTGGAGGTTAACGTAGGGGCGACCGTAATTGTAGTTCGGATCGGAGGGTTCCACCGCCTGGACGCCTTCTGTGGGCTCAGGCGTCTCTTCTGTTACGTCTTTCTTGTAAGGAATGCTTTCATCATCTGAAGTCACTTTAACGGAATCGTCAGGATCGATGGCTCGAGTCCTGTCAAAAATAATAATTTAACAATGGCATAACCTCAGTTATAGGGCATGTTAACTAAATATTGTATTTATAAAATAATATGTGTTTTTCATTTATCTGTTCTAAAGCTAATTTATGATTAAAATTAATTATTTTTCTTAGATTTCACTGTACCTATTGCCATTGAACATAAATGAGTCTATCTATGGTCCTGGCAAATATAAAGGGTTGAAATCGTGGGACATTTTTAACTGAATTATTATCAAGATATAAATGACAAAGAGAAGCAATTAAAAATCTTACTTCACATCCAAGAATTCGTTTTCTTCTCTTTCTTCAGCTTTCCGCCTCTGCAAGATCCTCCAAGCGACGCAGATTAAGATTATTATAATTGGCAGCATCACAGCACTAATGATGCCCCATGTCGCACCAAGAGTCCGAGACGAGTACTCCTGTTTACCTGTTTGTCATAAATAGAACACGTATAAAGTTTTACCAATTTTTGAATAATAATTATGAAATAGCGCGTATGGTACTCTACTAGGGGGAAGGTGATGGGAGAGATGTGCTCCGTACTAAGCTTTACGGCTAACTAAGCTGGAACGTACTAAGCTGGAAGGCCGGCTATCCTCGACCCACGCTGGTTCTGGTCCAGCGGGGTATTCAGTAGGATAGACCATTCCAACCGGCGCCATCTAGGCAGGCTTCGGATAGCCTGCCGACCGAGAGGGCTGATGGGCGTGGCGCCGACGACCGCCGGTCCGGCGTCCCGGGGGGCGGGGGGGTGACGGGACAGATGTGCTCCGCACTAAACGCTTCACTCTCTCCCCTTTGCCTTTTTTCATGAGTTCTGTCTCATGCGAGGCTCGGCGACAGGGGGCTTCAGTCGGTTCGACTCCGACATACCCCGCCCGCCATCCCCAGTGTGGGGTGGGAGTCCGGCGATTTCATCCTGACCAAAAAAATAATGGTATTCTACTATAGAGAGTTGAAATGTGTTTATATCATATTCATTCTTATTTCCAGTTTTTTTTTTTTATTGTCCTCGTAAGCAGACAAGCATACGGCCCACCTGAGGGTGAGTGGTTACCGTTGCCAATGGACTTCAGCAATGTCAGGGGCAGAGCCAAGCCGGTGCCTACCGCTTAATACTCTCCACAAGCCTCGTTTCAAGGAGGACATGTCATAGCGCTCGGGAAACACCGTGGAGCCGGATTCCATAGCCGGATGGTACGTGGCAAAAAAGTTCCCGTTTTACTATTAGCTTAGATTTATTTAAGTTTTGTCTCGTAATTAACGTAGGCATATAATGATATTGTCCGTGGCCTACAAAAGTTCATTTGTTGAACTTTTTTTTTTTTTGTAACTCTCGATTGGTGTATTATCTAAACTAACGTCACGTTATCAGAGATACCCGGAATCATCGGCCTACTTTACCATACAAGGTGCAAAGATTAAAACGTACTCACCGTTAGTGTGACCCAGATATTTTTTTTTCGTACACAAAACAGTTTCTGATAAGAAAGCAAGCAATAGCCTCACTACGTATCATTAGGGAAATAAAAAAATAAAACACATCACGATAGCAGAGAAAATTTCCATTCCACAAAAACGTGGCAGTAAGATATTCCTTGCTTTCTTATTAAAAAAAAAATCACTCACAGGGAAGTTATTCTACCGTGATTGGGAACAGAAATTTCCTCTTCTTGTGATCAGGGCTTTTTTTTGTAAATAAATTGTATTTTTGTCTTAACATAAACATTTTAATAGATAAAAAAACAACAACAATGGGAAATCTCACGAAACACTATTCGGAAGAATAAAATAAAGTGCAATCACTAATATTAGGTGCGTTTAAAAATAATTATGTATATATAACCTAAACACTCTCCCCAGAAATTGTCATACGAATGGGCAGTGATTACTATCAGAACTTAATCTAGACTATTCTAATACAAATTTAAAGTCTCAATGCAAATATTAAACCATAGTCGATCGACTACTAAGGGTGGGTACTTCGGCCGCTGGTGGGTCAATAAGGGTTTCCATTGATTTACCCTTGTTCGTTGGCATGGTAAAAGTTTTAATGCCATCAACAGGGGCGCTTTTAGGTGCTTCGGGAATGCCGGGATTATTATATGTATTCCGGGGACTCGAATCGGAGGCCGGGCTGATTGGAGGCGAATAAATTTCAGAGTACGTGGGAGAATACTGAGAAGGTATTGGACTGTATTGGTCGTCGAATTTCGGCGCGTAAGGATCCTCAGATCCCTCTTTCGTGGAATAGCCCGAGTCAGACGGTATGGCCTGACGACCCATTTGTCGCGGTTTATTTAGATACTGTATGTCTTTAGCGGGACGAGTTAGAGTGGAATCCCTATTAGATTCAGAATCTGATGGTGAAGTCAGTGACAACAAGTCTTCCTCGGACAGATCCCATAGTTTTTCTGGGAATTCTACATCGGGTGCATTCGGCAATGGCTCATTGGTACGATATGTTTTATCGTAAGCCCTACGCTTTTTAGGCAGACCGGAGGACTTGTCAGATTTACCGGAATCACTTTTGCCAGAGTCTGGGTAGCCTATTCCTGAGCTATCCCCGTCCGCGGGAGGAGCAAGGACCGACCTGCCTACTATCCTGGCCGGCGTTTCCTCAGTAGGGGTTTCGGGGGATTTTTTCTCAGAACCGGGTATCGTCGAAGATTTCATAGTGTCTGTGATATTTCCCATTGACGAAGACCTAAGATTTAATCTAGATGCGGATTTTGAACGCGGTAAGTCTTCGAAACGGAAGCCCTCCTTGCCCTCGGACCTTGGTTTGTGCCAGCACCAGAACCAGAGGAGGCAAATCAGGAGGCCTAATGGTAGAATAACTGCCACTATGACGCCCCAAGTTAGGAATAGGGCACGTTGGGAGAATTCCTGTTGACCTGTATGACGAAAAAATAGTGCGTTACAAAAATCTGGCGGCAGGAGCTTTTAAATCCTTTTCAAGATTTTTCTAATCAAGCTACGACATATTAACTCGAAAAATCCTTTTTGAAAATAGCCTGTATGTATAATAGTTTCAAAGTCGTTTTTAGTATTTAATATTAGCGTGCACTTACGTAGACA